TGTGGGTGTGGGTATGCGTGTGAGTATGTGCGTGAGTTATCAACTCAGATGGTACCAAGTCAGATGGGGTTAATTAATCAAGTCACTATTAAAGTAGTTAGTTAGGATAAAATTCTATATCTAGAATGGATCAAATTTGATTCGATATTTTTCGGTCAAAATTTTATTCGGTGAAGTTGGAGTCGGCGAAAATAAAATTCGGCGCAGCTGTACTAATTCTCCCATCCCACCTACTCGAGACCCGTACTTCGAAATAACGAGAGTGAAAATCTCTTTCTTTATTTTCTTCGAATACAGAACGAAAGAAAAAAACCAATGTTCTTGTGTTCCAATGTCCCGAGCAAGGAAATAAAAATCGCAAAAATCTTTTTCTTTTCTTCGAAGTATAGCGAAAATCTTTTTCTTTGTTTTCTTCGAATACAGATCGAAATAAAAAAACCAATGCTCCTATGTCCCAATGTCCTGAGCATTGAAACGAACATCTATTCAGAATCTTTGTCATTTTTCTCTCTTCAATCATGCAAGATAGACACAATTTATGTTGGGAACAAAAACGTCTTTTTTGAATCTGCATACTCAATCAAACTATGTCATATCACTCAGTAACAAAATTTTATTTCTATGAATCACTTTCTCATAACATTTATAAAATAGTCTACAATTCCAATCTCAACTAGATTCTAAACTGTACTGTCACATATATGTATCTCTTTACATTTACATTCTACGTTGTATCAATAGTTTCTAGAATACGGAGAAAATAAATTTAATTAAGGTGAACCTGACTAGAGATGTGTTGTATTAGTCTACTGTAGTCCACCAACGAGGATGGGTTAAAAACACTTATGGTGTAGGGGAAGTGACAAGCAGAAAAAATGTCTCAATCCATGAGAATACTAAGTAGGTATTTCCAGATTTAGCGTGACAATACTGATTTTAGGCAGAAACGTGAACTTCTTAAAAGCAAAATGTTATATCGACAGTGCCAATGTTTTGGTGAGAAACTTTCGATTTCTATTCAGTCATGTTTGTCGTTCTAATAGACTTCTGCCATCAAATATGAATCAACTTGTTCTTCATGAAGCTGAGTATTTAATAAATGGTGAGCCAAAAATTTCGTTGTATAATACCTTTATAAATTTTTTTCAATTTGAATGACAAAAATAAAACTGCTTGCGACGATTACCATCTGATGAAGAATTTGATTTTGTAACAAGTTCCGTTTCTTTAAAAAATTGAATTTGTGACAAAATACTTATCTACAGGTTAAAGGGACCGAAAAAGTGAGGGGGATATTTTGCTCTGCTCTTTTCCTACCTATTCATCTCCTTCTCCCCCGCTCATATCTATCTTCTCACTCAGTTAGAGAGATATAACATCTCTATACTGTTATCGTGGGATAAGTATTTTGACTTTTGCAGCGAATTAAAATTTCCCATGTAGTCAATCAAAGATATGTTGATGAACGTTTACGTATCTACATCCAAAGAAGAAATTATCCTTATGTCGATAATTTCTTCTTTTTAAAAGAATAGCACTTTGTAATTTTATATAAATTTAGTTATAGCTTCACTGTTACAACCAGCGTACTTCAATTGAAAGATTTTATACACTGAAACATGATTCAAATGATTCTAAATCACAAACGGATTCATACTCTATTGAATTCTCATGTTCTTTTTTTCGTAAGTTATAGTAAACAGGTCCGCTATAAATTCACTTATAAATCTGCTATTTACAGATAAATTGAATACTTAAAGTATCAGTTCAAGAATATATTAAATTTCTTATTTCAAGAAAATAAAATGAAGGCTGACAACAAAATATGAAACTTTTGAGTTAAGCATTAAGTAAAGATTATGTTGATTCTCAGTGACATACACAACGAAAGTAGTCCATATATGGTTGGCATTCAGATCGTTTCCAACCTTGCAAACTGCAGTACAATTGACAACGCTTTCGGTCCCATTTGCTTGATGGATCGCATGGAAAATTACGCCCACCAATAAATGGGTGTAATTCTTAAATTAGTTCATCCTTTTTTCTTAGATTACATGATTCTGTCAATCTGATAGTATGACTTGTTTCACTTTAACCATTCAGAAAGAAATTGTTGATTATCATTCACATACTCTTCTTCTGACACTGATGATACAATACTTGAAGAGTCCTTTTCGGGTTTGCTTGCTGATATCACTAAAAAAAATTGAAAATGCTTCTATGACATATTAATGGCTAATAGTTTTCTATTTACGTTCATTCGACTCTGACTTTGAGTCTGAACTGATTTGGTTTTGTGCACCAACGGTCAACAATAGCATAATAACGAATAAAACTGAAGCCAAATGTTTCGAATTCATAATACGGCAATGCAAAGAAACAAATTGCTGTATTTTTGTAAGCTCTTCAAGTTATATATATATACTAGGTAACGGCGTCATTTAAATAAAAAATATTATTTCAAAAAGATTCATAATAGAAGGAAGAATCATTCATAGATAACGTCTGCATGATAAGCAAGTTAGTAGGAAATTTATTGCTTGCGTTTAGTAGGAAGAGTCAGTCATCATTTTTTCCAATCATTTTTTCCAATCATTGTTTGCATATTCGTCATAAAATGGCACTTCATTTGCGTGAGAATGAATTATGAACTTCCTCGCACTGATTCATATCATTGTGTGTCACTGTGCAAACAGCATTATCATCTCTGAAACAAACCGGGAAATGAGCTCATAGAAAGTAATCAAATTGATAAGAAAAATAATAACTTATGAAATCAAAATCATGATAGTTTTCGGTTCTTCTTATCAGAGAAGAAATAGGTTCCGTTTGTTCCGACTACATAGTATTCTGATGAAGTTGAAAAATTAAATCTTCAAATTCTTTCGAAATACTCTTACATTTTAATTATCAATAATTGCATCAGAAAATTTTAACAACTAAATTCTACTTAAAAAAGTAATAGTTAGCCGTCATTCCAATCCAAACTAGACAGATATAAATCTTGTTTACGTATATATAGGTCTTAATATACAAATGAATTTCCACTGTTTATTTCTCAAGTAAATTAATGAAATTTTTATGGGAGTTTTCTGATAGCTATTCCATTTAAATTTCCTGGAACTAGAAGCAGTCCATATCATTCGATGAGTTTATTATTCAAAATCGAGTAAGTACTTCTGAGCCACGCATAATACCACAGTATTCATCAACAATCATACGTCACAAAACGCTCTATATTAGTGAAATAAGAGTCTTATCTAATTTTCACCGTGAGAAATTACATTTGAAAATGACTATTTAATTGGTAAAGAACGAGTAAAGTTTACAATGGTTAATCGCGATCTATCGACTAGTTTGATATGAGTGATATTTGAATACTGATAAGCTAATAGTACGAACAGTTAACAATCTGATAAAACCAGATGTTATACAGCTGATAAAAGAAGCTCACCTTAAGAGAATAGACAAAACAGAAGAAATGTAGACACAAAAACGATGAATTTGAGAAACACTAAAAGTTGTATAAGGCTTCGACTACATTAAGAAAGTTCTAATTTTTGTGTACTCAAAAAAAGTGAGTACACTCTAGATTCGGTCAGTGTGTCCGGCCGTTAACATGATAACCTTTGAAAACCTCATCCAATTGTCATGAAATTTTGTAAACATAATGATCTCATTAATATCTCAGTCGAGTTCGAAGATGAGAAAGATCCGTCAAGAAATGACTGAGTTATCGAAGAAATTGTCAGTATTGACCAGACCATCCCTCAGCGGGGGGGGGGGGGGTGGGGGGGTTTTTTTTTTTATTT